GGGGGGAAGGGGGGGATGGGGGGGGACGAGTTGTGGTCCGCATTCCGGGGGGTGGGGGGCTTTTCCGAGCCCACCAGGGCCCCAAGACGGGCCAAGAGGGCTCCAAGACCCCCCAAGACGGCCCCAGAAGCCCAGACGCTCAAAGAGCGCTCCAAGACGCCGAAGATGACCTCCAGACATCCCAAGAGGCCGCCGAGACGCTCCAAGAAGCCTCCAAGAGCCCTCAGAAGAGGACCCTTCGAGGCCAAAATCAATTAGTTTCAGTATGGTTTTGGACAGATTCTGGTCTTCCCGCCTTTTCGGCTTCCCGACGCTCCAAGACGGGCCCAGAGGCCCCCAAGATCGCCCCAGTAGATGGACAATATATTCGAACCCTCACACATTCGAGGGAGATTCTGAATCACCCCCGCGCCCCCGACATCAATGTTGATCTCAGCAAAGGCGGTGCTTTGGGGTTCGAATATTTCTGTCCACTCACGCCCCCCCCGTCGCCACGCCATCAATATTAAATTCGGGGGTTCGGGGGGGCATCTTGGGCCACAGGGTTCGAATATAATGTCCATGTACGGTCCCCCATCTTGTTTTGCAGGTGGGAGTAGGGAGGAGGGAGAGGAGGAGACTGTACAGATGCCACAAACGTCAGCATTACAATCAGAATCGCCCTCATCGGCGGCATCATCTCCACCATCATCATCATCATCATCATCATCATCATCATCATCATCACCATCATCACCATCATCACCATCATCAGTATCAGCATCATCAGCAGCAGCATCATCTTCACCCACAACCCTCAAGGAGGAATGAGGAACAGGAGGGAGGAGGGGGGAGGAGAACGAGGAGAAGGAATAGGAGGAAGATGGAGGTTCCGCTCCTGGGCGTAAGACGCTGGGGCAAGGGGTGAGACGTTTCAGGAGGAGTGCGGAAGGGTCTGGAGGAATGGGAGAACCCCACAGGATTGGGAGGAGTGCGGAGGGTTGAGGGGAAATGGGACGGTTGTGGGAGGTGAGGAAGGAGTGCGGAGGCGTGGGGAGGACTGGGAGGGTTGCGGAGGTTTCGGGGGGAGTGCGGATGGGTATGGAGGAATGGGATGGTGGAGGAAATCTCTTTCGGGAGGAGTGCGGAAGGGGTGGGGAGGAATGGGGCGGTTGCAGAAGGTTTGGGAGGAGTGCGGAGGGATGTGGAAGGATGAAAGGGTTGCGAAGGTGTCGGGAGGAGTGCGGAAGGGCGTGGAGGAATGGGAGGGTTGCGGAGGTCTCTTTCGGGAGGTGTGCGGAGGAGTGGGGAGGAATGGGACGGTTTCACAAGGTTTGGGAGGAGTGCGAGGGGATGTGGAGGCAGGGAGGGTTGCGGAAGTTTCGGGAGGAGTGCGGAGGGGTGTGGAGGAATGGGGGAGGTGCGGATATGTGCGGATGTCCCGGGAGGAGTGCGGGGGAGTGGGGAGACATGGAAGGGCTCCGGAGGTTTCGGGGGGAGTGCGGACGGATGTGGAGGAATGGGACGGTTGTGGAGGTTTCGGGAGGAGTGCGGAGGGGCCTGGAGGAATGGGGGAGGTGCGGGTGTCTGGGAGGAGTGCAGAGGGATGTGGAATGATAAAAGGGTTGCGGAGGTTTCGGGAAGAGTTCGGAGGGGTGTGGAGGACTGGGACGGTTGCGGAAGGTTTGGGAGGAGTGCGCAGGGTGGGGGGGAATGGGAAGGATCGCGGATGTCCGGGAGGAGTGCGGAGGGGCGGAACGAATTCGAAGGGCTCCGGAGGTTTCGGGAGGAGTGCGGAGGAATGTGGGGGAATGGGAGACTTGCGGAGGTTTTGGGAAGAATGCGGCGGGGTGTGGAGGAATGGGAGAGTTGCGGATGTTCGGGAAGAGTGCGGAGGGGTGAGAAGAATGGCAGGATTGCGGAGTTTCTGGGAAGATTGCGGAGGGGTCTGGGGGAATGGGTCGGTTGCGGAAGGTTCGGGAGGAGTGCGGAGGGGTGGGGGGGAGTGGGGCGGTTGCGGAGGTTTCGGGTGGAGTGCGGAAGGGCGTGGAGCAGTTGGGAATAGTGCGGAGGGGCGTGGAGGAATGAGAGGTTTCGGAATTTGTTGTTGGCGGAGTGCGGTGGGGTGCGGACGACTGCAGGGGAGTGGCGAGGACTGGGAAGGAGTGGGGGGCCTGCGGAGGAGTTGGGAGTGAATGGAATTTAACGGAATGCAGCGGGGGGCCTCTGTCGTAGACCTCGCCCGAGAGGGCCTCCAGGGGGCCTTACGAAGATCCACGGGGGCTCCAAGACGACCCCCAAAGAGGCTCCACGCGGACTGACGGACGGGCCCAGAGGCGACAGCACTGGCATCGTCGACGGTGACGGTCGGAGTCGTGCCGGGCCAGAAGCACGACGTGCCCGTGGCGGTCGCGCAACGCTCTAGGGGTCTGCCGAAATTGTCGGGGCGCGGCATGCGGAGTCAGCCATCGGGGCCTTCCGTGGAGTTCCCGATGGGGCAACGAGGTGTGGCAACGACGATAATGGCGACAGTGATGATGGCGATGATGGTGATGATGTCTGCGCGCAGCGACCCCAATCGCACGCGGCAGGACTACTTGGGCTTGAACTTAAGAGCCTCGCTTGTGACGAGGGTCGAGAAACAGCGCGGGCACGGCACTAGCTTCGGGGCCGGCGGCTTGGGAATCGGCACAGTGAATAAATACAGTTTCAGCCGCCGGAGCAGCATGCCAGCCTGCCCCTGCGGGCGCTGCGACGACTCGGACGAGAGGCCCGCCAGCGCCGTCTCGGGGCAGGTGACAAAAATCGGGGCGGACCCCATGTACACCTTGTGCCCGACGTGCTGGTTCTGGGGCATGGTGATGGGCACGGGCTTGCCCTCCAGCCACAGGAGCTGGATGGACAGGGGGAGGTCCTCATCGATGAACATCCACTCGTCCAGCACCGCGGCCTTGGCCTTGTCCAAGCCGTGGAAGCAAAACTGCCCCCCGCCTGGCCTCTCCTGCACGTGCTCACCACCGAACAGCGGCCGAACCGCCGAGAAGAGAAGAGACTTCCCCTCTCCGCCGAAGCGCCCAGCCAAGGTGACCACCGGGGCCGCCTCGGACCGACCGTGCTTCAGGGACATCAAGATGCTGCTGCACAGGTCGGGGACGTCGATGCGATTCATCGACAGGCTTTCGCGGACGTGGTGCAACCAGCGGCCGCCGCAAACGCAAGGCGTCCGCAAGGCCTCCTTGAACTGTTGCATGACGGGTTTCGTCGCGTCTTCGAGGAAGCTGTCCACGTTCTCCCACGCCCAGGCCTTGTCGATGATCTTCTCCAGCACGTGCTCGTTCTTGAACATCCAGGCAACCACCTTGTGCGAGCAGGACGTCTTAGCGTACGCCATCAACTTGCGCACTGCGTGGGGGTCGTCCGGAGTATTCCGGATCCCAGACCTGACCACTATCGGCCACAGGTCCACTTCCTCGACGCGAGGCTCTGGCTTCCCCTTCTCGCCCTCGACCTGCTCCCGCGCGGTCCTGCGCTTCTCCAAGGCGCGGGCGGTCGTCGGCTCCCTCTTCGCCGCGGACAGCGGCGGGTGGTCCGCGGGCCAAGCCAAGTAGTCAACGTCCAGGGCGCTCCGCGGCTTCTTGGGCGTCGCGTTCGCGCAGTACCCGACGGCCGACCAGCACCCGTCGTGGCTGCAGGACCAGTGAGAGGCGAGTTGGTACCTGTTGAGCAAGGCCCGCTTCACGGTCAGGAACTTGCTCTTCTTGCCCAGGTGCAAGGCCACGTGGTAGTGCGCCCGCCGGACGCCTGCCACTGGCGCGTGGTATTCTTTGAATACCACCAGCTTCTTGACCCCGACGGGCGCGGCCCCCTGCCCGCGGTGGCTTGCGAGCCACGCGGGGTCGGCGTCCGGAGCGCCGCAGCAATCCAGGAAAGCGTCGCGGACCTCCTCCCGCGAGAAAGCCGCTGGCGCTCTGAGACCCTCCTTGTCCGTGTGCGGCAGAGTCACCAAGTAGACCTCCCGCGAGGCGTTCCTGTTCTCCTCGCCGACGACGTGCTCGAGGAGCGCCGTCTGCTGGCTCTGCTTCCCCACGAGCCTGCGGCGCTTCTCTGGCCTGTCCACCGAGAGCGCCATCCCCCCGCGCGACCCGGCCAGGGCCAGCCCCCGCCCCGCTGAGCCGACAGGCTACAGAGAAAAACGCAATGCGGACCGTCGGGGTCTTCGGGGGCATCGTAAACCGCCGCCTGGCTGCTCAGTTGGGGAGCTCGTTGCACCTGGCGTCGTCTGCGCACCTGTCGCACTTGGGCGCGCCCCGTTCACCTGGCGCGTGTGGCCCACCTGTCGCGTGCCGCGCACCTGTCGCACGCGGCGCACTTGGCGCGCCTGGCGCGCCCCCTGCACCTCTGGGCGGGGTCGGCGGATCCTGTCCATGGATGCCGCTCGCGCGGCATTGTTGGACATGTGCAAACATGCATAAAAACCATACTGAACCTACAGTGAACCATCAGTGAACCAACAGTGAACCAACAGTGAACCATTGCAAATTACATAGTGAACCTCAATTTATATTAAAAAAGAAGTTCCCTACTCTTTTTTTTAATAGAATTCGAGGTTCACTATGGTTTTTACGAAGGTTCACTGTTGGTTCACTGTTGGTTCACTGTTGGTTCACTGTTGGTTCACTATGTTTTTTGCTGCATGTCTCGTGCGAGGGGCTCTCTGGGGCCGCCAGGGCGCTGGCGCCTGGGGGGCCTCGGCGGACAGAATCATAATGCCAAGATCAGGTACTTTCGACTACGTCTGCTGGCCCTGTAGCCGCAAGGGCGGTGGACGCACGGATTGGTCTTGATCGTGGACCGCGACTGGCTCCCTTCCCGCGCCCCACGTCGCTCGCGCGGGTCAACCGAGGCGCGGGCCGCTACGGGCCGCCCGCCGCCCCGGCCCGCTGCGGTCTGCGCCGCGGTCGCCCGCCGCCCTGGCCCGCCGCGAATCGCGCCGCGGCCGCCCGACGAAACCGCGCGCGCGCTCAGTTCCCACCGCCCTCGGCGAAGTGGCCGCCCTTCGCCTCGACCAACAAGCCGCAGCGCTTGTGCAGGCTGCCCATGATGCTGTGGATGTACTCAGAAGGCGTCGCCAACGCCGTGCGGCGCAGCCGGGCCAGGTACTGCGCCCGCGTCTCCGTCTTGCTCGCGGGCCAGTCCTTCTCCTGCCCCCTCATGCGCTTGTTCAGATTGGCCCAGAAGGCGAAATCAAGCGGCATCAGATCAGGGGACCGCTTCGGCAAGTCCAACGTCTGGATGCCAGCGGACTTCTTCGCCGCCATGCCCGAGCGAGATTTGTAGCCCGTGGGGTCGTTGTCTTCCATGACGCGGAACTTGCCGCGCACGGAAGGGTAGGCCCTCTTCAAAGCGGGCTGGAGCGCCCCCGAGTACATTCGCCCCGCGGCTGCGGCGTTCCACCTGCCGACCACCTGGTGCCACATCAACACCTTGCCCGCGCCGATGGCGCACGCGATGGTCACGGAGCCCTTGCCCGAACTCTGCTTCAGAACCTGGGGGCGAGCCAAATCAGAGCGCGCCGTCGGCCACTGGCCTGGCGCTGAGTGGCCGCGGCGCGGTCTCCGATTTGCGCCAGCCCGAGAACCTTAGGGTTGCTCGGCTTGACGTGGCCCACGGAGAAGTCCCGCTTGCGCTTCCTGTACACCCCGCGAACCTTGCGCTTTGCCGCCACCTTCCTGTACTTCGCATTGGGCAGCACCTGGAACACCTTGTTGTCCATGCACGCGTGGACGTACTGTGACCACTGGCTGGGGCTCCGGTGCTTGTGCTCGCGGGCCCACTGCAGGCGCTCCTTCTTGTCCCCATCAGAAAGGTCAGGCTTCTCGTACAGCGGGCGGAACTGGTAGCCATTCTCAGCAAACTCGCGGCGCACTGTCTCGATGTCGCATTTCAACTTCATCTCGGACTTCAGCATGGCTGCCGTCACTTCCTTTGTGCCGCCCGAGGACTTCAGAAGCTTCTTGTAAGCGCGCTGGGCAGCGAGAAACCCTTTGGGGGTGCGGATGGAATGCTTCGGGCGGCCCTTGGACTTCTTGGTCGTGTTCTTTTTGAACAAATGCTTCGAGACGGTGTCCGTGGAGCGGCTCAAGGCCGCGGCGATCCTCTTGACGCCCATGCCGCTGTCATGCAAGCGGCGCATTGCGACGTGCTCGTCGGCAGATACATGAGTGAAGGATTTCGGCGACATTCTCCGGCTGTGGAGACAACGACGGGCCAAATGCGCTCGGTCCAGAAAGCGCTGCGGTCATCCTTCCAACGGGGGCATCCTGAAAATGGCTGCAGTCCAGTGAGCGAGGGCATCCTATATCTCGGATGCCCTTTATTCCATTAGTAGCGCCATAGGTTCGGGTGGCTTCTGTCCGTGAAATTGGTCTAGATCTGCGCGACATGCGCGCGCAGGTGCGCAAGGGGGATCCATTTTGGGATCCCCCCTCGCTGCTGCTTCGTCGGCTGCCCTGTGGCTGTATCGTTGGCTGCCTGGTTCCTGGTGGCCTGCCTGCTCGGCTGCCTGTTGGCTGCCTTGCTGGCTGCCTCGATGGCTGCCTCGTTGGCTGCTTTGTTGGCTGTCTCGTTGGCTGCCTCGTTGGTTGTCTCGTTGGCTGCCTCGTTGGTTGCCTTGCCGGGTGCTGTGTCGGTGGCCTCGTTGGTTGCCTTGCTGGCTGCCCTGTCGACCGCCTCGCTGCCTGGCTGGCTGCCTCGTGGGCTACCTCGTTGGCTGCCTCGTGCCTCGTGGGCTACCTCGTTGGCCGCCTCGCTGGCTGCTTCGCCAGTTGCCTCGACGGCTGTTTTTTTGGCTGCCCCGCGGGCTGCCTCGTCGGAGGCCTCGTTGGCCGCCTCGCTGGGTGCCTCGTAGGCTGCTTCGTTGGCTGCCTTGTTGGCTGCCTCGCCAGCTGCTTTCCTGAAAGCCTACCAGACAACGCCCCCATCAATATCACGAGCAAGCGCCTATCCATCTGCCATGGCGACGATGAAGGGAGCGTGGTAACCCAGGACCCAAGGACGGCGAACGAAGGAACAGCATGTGCAGAGAAAAAATCGCAATCATGTGTATGCGCTGACTATATCACCCTGGGTAGGAATAAACCGACCCGTTCGCAGCCTGGGGAACGATGGGGCCTCGGAGGCCTCAGGATGGCTCAAGGCAGCCCTCCACAGGACCGTCTCCAGCTTTCGATAATGCACCCGATGTCTGTTGTGGGCGGTGGGACGACAGCAACATGTAACCCTGGGCAGGCAAAATCGACCTTCCCGCAGCTCCGGTAATCCATGGGGCCTCCGAGGCCTCCAGGACGGCCCAAGGCAGGCCTTCACAGGACCGTCTCCTTCCATCCCTCTTTCGGCCCCCTCCGATCCCCTCCCCTCGCCGGTCCCTTCCCCTCCCCTCCCCTCCTCCCCATGCCCTCTCTTCCCCTCCCATCGCCTCTTCGTCCCTGCCTCCTCTGATTCACTCCTCCCGCACCTGCTTAGAAATCCTCCACGCTCCACCGCTTGATCCTCCTCCCCACCACCTCCCATCCTCATCCTTCTCATTCCTCCTGTCTCTCACTACTGTTCCTGGTCCTCCGCATCCTCATCCTCATCCCCATCCTCCTCTTCCTCCTCATCCTGATCCTTATCCTCCTCATCCTTCGCTTCCTCCTCCACCTTCTCCCCCAAGTCATGGGATCTTGGATTTATGAGGGTCGCTTTGAGCAATGTGCAGAACTACACAAACCTTGCCATGGAGGTCCCCCATCTTGTTTTGCAGGTGGGAGTAGGGAGGAGGGAGAGGAGGAGACTGTACAGATGCCACAAACGTCAGCATTACAATCAGAATCGCCCTCATCGGCGGCATCATCTCCACCATCATCATCATCATCATCATCATCATCATCATCACCATCATCACCATCATCACCATCATCAGTATCAGCATCATCAGCAGCAGCATCATCATCACCCACAACCCTCAAGGAGGAATGAGGAACAAGAGGGAGGAGGGGGGAGGAGAACGAGGAGAAGGAATAGGAGGAAGATGGAGGTTCCGCTCCTGGGCGTAAGACGCTGGGGCAAGGGGTGAGACGTTTCAGGAGGAGTGCGGAAGGGTCTGGAGGAATGGGAGAACCCCACAGGATTGGGAGGAGTGCGGAGGGTTGAGGGGAAATGGGACGGTTGTGGGAGGTGAGGAAGGAGTGCGGAGGCGTGGGGAGGACTGGGAGGGTTGCGGAGGTTTCGGGGGGAGTGCGGATGGGTGGGGAGGAATGGGAGGGTGGAGGAAATCTCTTTCGGGAGGAGTGCGGAAGGGGTGGGGAGGAATGGGGCGGTTGCAGAAGGTTTGGGAGGAGTGCGGAGGGATGTGGAAGGATGAAAGGGTTGCGAAGGTGTCGGGAGGAGTGCGGAAGGGCGTGGAGGAATGGGAGGGTTGCGGAGGTCTCTTTCGGGAGGTGTGCGGAGGAGTGGGGAGGAATGGGACGGTTTCACAAGGTTTGGGAGGAGTGCGAGGGGATGTGGAGGCATGGGAGGGTTGCGGAAGTTTCGGGAGGAGTGCGGAGGGGCGTGGAGGAATGTGGGAGGTGCGGATGTCCCGGGAGGAGTGCGGGGAGTGGGGAGACATGGCAGGGCTCCGGAGGTTTCGGGAGGAGTGCGGAGGGATGTGGAGGAACGGGAGGGTTGTGGAGGTTTCGGGAGGAGTGCGGAGGGGTCTGGAGGAATGGGGGAGGTGCGGATGTCTGGGAGGAGTGCGGAGGGATGTGGAAGGATCAAAGGGTTGCGAAGGTGTCGGGAGGAGTGCGGAGAGATGTGGAGGAATGGGAGGGTTGTAGAGGTTTTGGGAGGAGTGCGGAGGGGTGGAGAGACATGGCAGGATTGCGGAGATTTCGGGAGGAGTTCGGAGGGGGCGTGGAGGACTGGGACGGTCGCGGAAGGTTTGGGAGGAGTGCGCAGGGTGGGGGGGAGTGGGACGGATTGCGGATGTTCGGGAGGAGTGCGGAGGGGCGGAGAGAATTGGAAGGGCTCCAGAGGTTTCGGGAGGGGTGCGGAGGGATGTGGGGGAATGGGAGGGTTGCGAAGGTTTGGGGAAGAATGCGGAGGGGTGTGGAGGAATGGGAGAGTTGCGGATGTTCGGGAAGAGTGCGGAGGGGCGGAGAGAATGGCAGGATTGCGGAGGTTCTGGGAAGACTGCGGAGGGGTCTGGAGGAATGGGACGGTTGCGGAAGGTTCGGGAGGAGTGCGGAGGGGTGGGGGGGAGTGGGGCGGTTGCGGAGGTTTCGGGTGGAGTGCGGAAGGGCGTGGAGGAGTTGGGAAGAGTGCGGAGGGGCGTGGAGGAATGAGAGGTTTCGGAGTTTTTGTTGGCTGACTGCGGTGGGGTGCGGACGACTGCAGGGGAGTGGCGAGGACTGGGAAGGAGTGGGGGGCGTGCGAAGGAGTTGGGAATGAATGGAATCGAATGGAATGCAACAGGGGGCCTCTGGCGTAGACCTCGCCCGAGAGGGCCTCCAGGGGGGCCTTACGAAGATCCACGGTGGCTCCAAGACGACCCCCAAAGAGGCTCCACGCGGACTGACGGACGGACCCAGAGGCGACAGCACTGACAGCGCCGACGATGATGGTCGTAGTCGTGCCGGGCCAGAAGCACGACGTGCCCGTGGCGGTCGTGCAACGCTCTAGGGGTCTGCCGAAATTGTCGGGGCGCGGCATGCGGACTCGGCCATCGGGGCCTTCCGTGGAGTTCCCGATGGGGCAACGAGGTGTGGCAACGACGATACTGGCGACAGTGATGATGACGACGATGGTGATGATGTCTGCGCGCAGCGACCCCAATCGCACGCGGCAGGACTACTTGGGCTTGAACTTAAGAGCCTCGCTTGTGACGAGGGTCGAGAAACAGCGCGGGCACGGCACTAGCTTCGGGGCCGGCGGCTTGGGAATCGGCACAGTGAATAAATACAGTTTCAGCCGCCGGAGCAGCATGCCAGCCTGCCCCTGCGGGCGCTGCGACGACTCGGACGAGAGGCCCGCCAGCGCCGTCTCGGGGCAGGTGACAAAAATCGGGGCGGACCCCATGTACACCTTGTGCCCGACGTGCTGGTTCTGGGGCATGGTGATGGGCACGGGCTTGCCCTCCAGCCACAGGAGCTGGATGGACAGGGGGAGGTCCTCATCGATGAACATCCACTCGTCCAGCACCGCGGCCTTGGCCTTGTCCAAGCCGTGGAGGCAAAACTGCCCCCCGCCTGGCCTCTCCTACACGTGCTCACCGCCGAACAGCGGCCGCACCGCCGAGAAGAGAAGAGACTTCCCCTCTCCGCCGAAGCGCCCAGCCAAGCTGACCACCGGGGCCGCCTCGGACCGACCGTGCTTCAGGGACATCAAGGTACTGCTGCAGAGGTCGGGGACGTCGGTGCGATTCATCGACAGGCTCTCGCGGACGTGGTGCAACCAGCGGCCGCCGCAAACGCAAGGCGTCCGCAAGGCCTCCTTGAACTGTTGCATGACGGGCTTCGTCGCGTCTTCGAGGAAGTTGCCCACGTTCTCCCACGCCCAGGCCTTGTCGATGATCTTCTCCAGCACGTGCTCGTTCTTGAACATCCAGGCAACCACCTTGTGCGAGCAGGACGTCTTAGCGTACGCCATCAACTTGCGCACTGCGTGGGGTCGTCCGGAGTATTCCGGATCCCAGACCTGACCACTATCGGCCACAGGTCCACTTCCTCGACGCGAGGCTCTGGCTTCCCCTTCTCGCCCTCGACCTGCTCCCGCGCGGTCCTGCGCTTCTCCAAAGCGCGGGCGGTCGTCGGCTCCCTCTTCGCCGCGGACAGCGGCGGGTGGTCCGCGGGCCAAGCCATGTAGTCAACGTCCAGGGCGCTCCGCGGCTTCTTGGGCGTCGCGTTCGCGCAGTACCCGACGGCCGACCAGTACCCGTCGTGGCTGCAGGACCAGTGAGAGGCGAGTTGGTACCTGTTGAGCAAGGCCCGCTTCACGGTCAGGAACTTGCTCTTCTTGCCCAGGTGCAAGGCCACGTGGTAGTGCGCCCGCCGGACGCCTGCCACTGGCGCGTGGTATTCTTTGAATACCACCAGCTTCTTGACCCCGACGGGCGCGGCCCCCTGCCCGCGGTGGCTTGCGAGCCACGCGGGGTCGGCGTCCGGAGCGCCGCAGCAATCCAGGAAAGCGTCGCGGACCTCCTCCCGCGAGAAAGCCGCTGGCGCTCTGAGACCCTCCTTGTCCGTGTGCGGCAGAGTCACCAAGTAGACCTCCCGCGAGGCGTTCCTGTTCTCCTCGCCGACGACGTGCTCGAGGAGCGCCGTCTGCTGGCTCTGCTTCCCCACGAGCCTGCGGCGCTTCTCTGGCCTGTCCACCGAGAGCGCCATCCCCCGGCGCGACACGGCCAGGGCCAGCCCCCGCCCCGCTGAGCCGACAGGCTACAGAGAAAAACGCAATGCGGACCGTCGGGGTCTTCGGGGGCATCGTAAACCGCCGCCTGGCTGCTCAGTTGGGGAGCTCGTTGCACCTGGCGTCGTCTGCGCACCTGTCGCACTTGGGCGCGCCCCGTTCACCTGGCGCGTGTGGCCCACCTGTCGCGTGCCGCGCACCTGTCGCACGCGGCGCACTTGGCGCGCCTGGCGCACCCCCTGCACCTCTCGGCGGGGTCGGCGGATCCTGTCCATGGATGCCACTCGCGCGGCATTGTTGGGCATGTGCAAACATGCATAAAAACCACGCTGAACCTACAGTGAACCATCAGTGAACCAACAGTGAACCAACAGTGAACCATTGCAAATTACATAGTGAACCTCAATTTTCTATAAAAAAGAAATTCCCTACTCTTTTTTAAATAGAATTCGAGGTTCACTATGGTTTTTACGAAGGTTCACTGTTGGTTCACTGTTGGTTCACTGTTGGTTCACTATGTTTTTTGCTGCATGTTTCGTGCGAGGGGCTCTCTGGGGCCGCCAGGGCGCTGGCGCCTGGGGGG